AACTAGGCGCGTTCGATTTGAAGCAGCGCTGCGCAGGATGAGTGTATGACATCAACCGCGAAAGCATAAGGATCTGTCTGCTCTCTTATCGCTCTCGCGGTACTTGGTCATACACTAATCATTAGGCTTGTTTGAAATTTAAATACATAATCACATGAAATCAGATAAAAAAATAAAATATTTTAGAAGAGAACCGCAGCATCACAGTTGTCTGAACCAATGAGCATTAAGCTGTGACGTCAGTCAGTCGTTTCCCATCATGCTTTTGATCAGCGCAGTCGGTGGAGAGCAACTGCGCTCGACTGCACAATCCGACACAGCCGCCTCGCCGTCGCGAGAGTTTTTTTGCACACGTCAGCATGACATCAGAGCAAGTCGGAGGTAAGTCGGACACTTTTCTAACCAGCATGCACAGAATTTGCTCATCTCAAACAAGCCTAATGTATGCTACCGCGACAAAGCAGGTATGCGACAAATGACGTCAGAAAAGCGTCAGTACGTTATATTCAGTTATGGTCTATTACTGAACCGATACCAAATCGTCCTCATCTGCATCGCGATGCATCGAAGAAACGATTAATTTTGACACCCCTAATGCCTATGTGCACACAAGAAGTCCAAACTTCTCAAAACATTGTACATATGGAGAACAATTCATCCTGAGAAAACATGCTTAGTTTCATGATTTTCTGATGCTCAGATGGCTAACAGCAAAACCATCAGCCATTTCAACAAAAAAAATTAAACTCAACGAGTGCTGTAAAAGATGAGTGCTGTAATAATGTTGTCCACTAGAGGTACAGGATAAGAAATCTTTTTCTATCAGTTTACATTAGTTTGAACAAAAAAGTGAACAAAACCAGTTTATATAGTGCACTGTCAATATTGTTTTATAGAATTAAAGTAAATCTGTAATGTGCTTATAAATCATTTAATGTTAATTTATCTATAATATATATCACATTAATATTGAAACAATTATTTTCAAGTTACCAGACATTCAAAAGTTGCTGTCCATTTAAAATGAAGAATAAGATAATATAGTATAGTATTTCACACTAAGTCCTGTTGTATGAAGAATAAAACAAACATGTATATTCTAAACTGCAAGCATATACTGCAAGTAATCATACAGATGGGACACTCTCATATACCTTGACACCAACTCAGAAGGACCTGCAGCCCTGTTGCAGACCTGCAAAGTATTATTGTTATATTGCAGTATTACAATATTATAATATAAAAATATAAAAAATAAAAAACTTGCCCCTTTTAGACTAGCACTCTATTCATTTACTAACTGCTTGTTTTCTTTAGACAAAAACTAACACTTGCTTCTCTTTTCTTTTTTTATTCTATCTATCTATTTCTTTTCCTTTTATTTATTATACAATTAACAAAAGCAAAAAGGCCTCTAACACTAGCTTGCTGTCACTCCCCTGGACTCATTGTGTTGTGTTTTCCCTCCCCAGGTGTGCCGTGTCTCAGTTAATTAGTCATTCCATGCACCTGTGTTCCCCTAATTGCCCAGTGTTTATTAGCCCCAGTATGTGCTGTCTGTCTCTGTCTGAGATTGAACGTCAACCCCTGTGTTTCCTGTGTTCCAAGCTACCAAGTGTTACTTCCTGGATATTCTGAATTAAAAGACTATTGTTGTTCGTGTACTCCTGTTCTCCTCGTTCCTCGCTCCTCGCATTAGGCTAAAGTGTGACCGAATCTCAGACCAATACGATTACCTCCGTTTGTCTACCCTTCGTTTTGTTTCCGGGTTTTCCTCCGTTTTTTGTTTCCGTAGTGTTTTCCCATGGATCCCTTCACTCGCCCCGAATTCCTCCTCCTCCTGCTGGAGCAGGAAGACAAAGCTCTCAAGGACCATACCAATCTGTTCCTGTTGGTCGCTAACATCACCAGCTATCCGGACGACGCGCTCTGCTTTTTCTATGACGCAAGTCTGAACGCCGAGTGCAGAGCGCTGTCATCCGAAGATGGTCCTCGGGAGGAATTTGCCGCCTTTGTGGAGTGAACTCTGGTGAGAAACG